CGTGTTGCTGTTTTTTAAACCTTCTGAGTCCACTTAGTGCTGCTGGATGCACACATATGTATGACACTCTACATACATGGATCAGGAATAGCTCATTACATAGAAAATGACACGGTAAAGAGGTAATGCTTGGAAAAGAATAATCATAGTCCCTTACAAATAATTTTCATATTTTAAGGTAACTGTATTTTCTCAATTGAAATTCAGACAGGAAAAACAGCAAAATAACTTGCACACATTTTCTTCCCTAGTGCTCCATTACCTGTGGCAAAGGCATGCAGTCTCGTGTTATCCAGTGCATGCACAAGATCACAGGCAGACATGGAAGTGAATGCTTTTCTTCTGAGAAACCTGTGGCATACAGGCCATGCCACCTTCAGCCCTGTAATGAGAAGATAAATGTAAATACAATAACGTCACCCAGACTGGGTAAGCAGATCACAGAGTGGATGACTTTCAGACACAGAAAGACTTTTAGGACATATATTTTCCTTAAAGATGGGGAATTAGTAAACTGTGCAAGTTAAATTGGCTCTGAGTTGAGTCTATTTAAATATACTTTAGTCCACGTGATCAGAGAGGGGTTCATAAACTCTTTGTAAAGACTCCTTTCCTTCCATGAAGTACTTACTCAGAACTAAGTCTAACAAATACTGATGCCACACTGCCCATGGCAACAGAATTTAAGATTCCATCTAGTATCACACCTGTCAACTACGCTGGTATCTGTGGGAAGGGGAGATTTGGAATAAACTTTAAATTCCTCCATGGCCAGTGCCCTCCTTTTCACCCTGGATGCAAATGTTCTTTAGGATAAGACAGTATAAAAACAGTTTCCCATAAAAATAAACATCTAAGTCTACACAACCAAATGTAAGGTATTTTCTTATCTTTAAGAATAAAAATATAAATTCACAAGCCCTAGCAATTTTTATTCCTTCTGTGCTTTTTAAATTTATTTTTAAATTGACATAGAAACTGACAAGTTTCTTGGCATTGTCA